GCAGATCACATGGCAAGAATTGCAGTTCCTGGGAAATCATGAAGGAGAATGCCATGTTGATTTATCTGCAAGTGTTTTTATCTGGAGGCTGGAGCTTCTCAACTGCTGTAGACTCAGTTAAAGGTGAAAGTAAAGGTTTCCCTTGAAAACAAATGTAGGAAGTAGCTGATATTTGGAATGGTGTTGTCATTAAAACGTTGAGGGGGGGCCAACAGATACCAAAACCGTGCATCACGTAAATGATTGTTGCTGAAAGCAGTACACCAGGGGTGCAGTGTTGGTGGCCACCTTAGGAATGTCTACCTATCAGTAGTGCCAGTTTTAGAATGGAGACGTGGCAAAGAACTCCTGTGCGCAACCAAGAGCCTCTCCATCCTCCTAAATACCCTTGTGTAATGGGTGGCTGTCGAAGCCATCACAGAATTACTGGCATATTCTGCATCTCCAAAATTGAAAGCACTTCTAAATTTTCAGCAGTTGCTGCTTTTATCTCCAACATGATGTATTTCTCAAGCTGAAGACCTTGAATCAGAAGCCTAAAGAAATACAGCAACACTGTTTAAGTGGCCTATTATACCACTTTGCCCCACCAAAAAAATACCCCTGCCCTCTCTTAATGATTCAGCTTTTGAGGACGGCCCCAAGGTTTCATTTGCTATGTTGAAAGGTGGTAATGGTCACACTTTCTGAAGAGAGCCTCCTGAAGGATTTGGCCAACAGTAGGACAATAAGGATGAATGATGTGAGAATACATTTAATAAAGTGCCTCAGAGACAAAGGCTCGTTTTTACAACTGAAGTGATTTCGAATATCAGGTGGAGTTGTTAATTAAATCTGAAAGTAGACACGATTAAAACAGTGCAGTGGAAAGTGTCATCAAGTCATAGTTGACTTATGGTGAACCCATAAAGTTGTCAAGGCAAGAGACATTTAGAGGTAGTCTGCCATTGCCTGCCTCCACATCACTGGTATGGATTGGAGGTCTCCCATCGAAATACTAGCCAGGGCTTCCTATTTTCCGAGATCTGACGAGATCTGGTTAGCCTGAGCCATTAAAAATGTAGCAAAGGACGTACTGGATCCACTTAAAGCAAATAAAACAGTATTTTATTATTATTATTAAATTAGATTTGCTAGGCCGCCCCTCCCTACAACTAGAGCTCAAGGTGGCTTACAACAAAAGAATGTACAAAAAGTTTTTAAAATTAAAACCACCTAAAAACAAATCAGTAAGTAACACCTTAAAGACCAACAAAATTTTCCAGGGTATAAGTATACTTCCTTTGACACCAAGGTTGCTTTTGTATTGCTCATGGAAGATGATTTAGTGGTCATCGAAGATATTCAAAGATGCTCCATTTGGCAGATGGTGCAGCACGTTGAACAGTTTACTAACTTTTATCAAAACTTGAAGATGATGCTATTGGTTTAGATCAGTAGAATTACAATGTATAAAAAGCTGCAGAGCATTTACTGTCCTGAGTAGATCCCTACCCACAATAGCAAGCACTGACCAATATGGTAGGAGTAGATATATAGTGAATTTTGGTAGTAAATATCCTGGGTGAAGCTATGCACTTACAGCATTGGCAAATGTGAGGGGGAGCTGTTTGCAAGAGTATTATTTCAGAATGGAAGAGAAGGGAGTAGAATGGTGGAACAGAATACTTCCCCATGTCAGTGAGAAGAGATTTTGTTGCTTAGATTTAGGCTCCAGTCAGTTCAGTGATGTGGGTTTGAATCCCACTGCTTCCACTAAATATGATGGCTCTGTTCACTTCCCTCCTTCAGAGACAAAATTTTCCCTCCTTTTTTCTTTCCCTTTACTGACTGAGCTGCCCTAGTAATATGTGTTTTTCTTTGCTGAAGAGTTCTGGCTGTCCCACCTTGTCACAGTAGAATATTTTTGCTGTGGGCTCAGCCCAGGAACCCGAGGGAAGGACCAGGAGCCCGCTTTCACTTAAACAACTTAAATGGAACTCGAGGAGTTTTGAAATTCAAAAATCACAAATTATTTAACGTAGAGGGAAAAGGTCAGGAGAAATCAGGGGTTGAAATTTCTCAGGTAAAACCAGTACATACACAGGCTTTAGTTCTTATGTTTCAGGCTAATGAGAGTTTCGTAAGCTTTTCACAGTGACTTAAATCTTTATGTTGAGAGGCTTTTTTCCCAGTGTTTTCCCATACACTCTAGTACACTTTCTTTGAGTAATCTATAACCTTCAGTTTCCAGAAGATTTGTGCCCTCTTTCCAGTACCCAAACCCCTTCTCTTGAAACATCAGTACTTGTCTTGAGTTTTAACTGACTCTTAAGGCCACTAAAGGCAGTTTCTAACCACACCCAGACCAAGGATCTCTGCACTTTTCAGAGCTAACTCCCTGTTTGACTGGGTAGGGCATTTTCTTCTCTCTCTAGAAGATCTATCCCCTTTCCTTGGCCCAAATTGGAGTCTTCATCTAACTCCCCAAACTTCCTTGACAACTTCCCCGAGTTCTCCTGTCCTCCCCACCCAAACTCTGCCCTCTGTAGGCACCGCCCCCAAAATCTCGAGATATTTCCCAACCCGGAGCTGGCAACTTTAGTTAATATTGTTCTCCCCCCCCCCGCACCTTATAAGGAAAATAGTTGACAGTGGGGTGTTTTTTTGGTGTGTGTGTTATTCCAAAGCAAAACTGAACAAGATGGAAGGATAACACTTTCAGTCTGAATTGGGGCCTTCATGTGTCTGAAATTTCTTTTCAGTCAGAAGGACTAGGTTCGTCCATTAAGTCTACTTGCCCTTTAACACTGACCAGCTTTATTACTGTCTAATAACTTGACTGAGACCCCCCTCTGCATATCATGGAGGACTGTGCTGTTGTGCTACAGTAATATTTTACACCACCACCACCATTCAACTTCATTAACAACTAGTTGTTGAGGGATAGGAAGTCCTGCTGTCTCTGGACTTTATAACATCAGCCTGTGCCAACCGCCTGGAAGACACCTGAAGTAGATCTAGGAGCCGGTTATGGGAAGAAAGAACTAATATGGTAGCCATCGTTGATCCAGCAACAACAATACTAGCACCTACTGTGTTATTGTTAACTAGTTTTAGCATTGTTTTAAATGTTTTAATTGTTTTGTTGCAAATATATGCGGGTTTTATGTAAGCCGGCCTTGGCTGGGAAGGTGGGGTAGAAATTTGAGAAATAAATAAATAAATCTTTTAGGGGGGGAGGGGCTGTGTCTCTATGGTTAAGCATCTGCTTGGCCTGCAGAAGGTCCCAGGTTCAATCTCTAGCATCTTCAGTTAAAAAAAAAAAGATCAGGTAGGAGGTGATATGAAAGACCTGTACCTGAGAGGCTGGGGAGCAGCTGCCAGTCTGAGTGGACAATACTGACTTACCTGTTTCGCACCTGGCACAATCTCACCTAATAGAGGGATGAGCTAGCAAATATGCAGAGATTGTGCCAGGTGTGAAACAGGTTTCTGGGGCAGTGAAGCAGTGACCTTTAATAATATAAAAACCAGCAGTTAATTGAGCACTGAAAAGCTTGTTCAGTCATTTGTGACATTTTTAGTAACTTCCTAACAGAAGTTACTGCATTGTGATTGGTCTGTTGTTTTTGCCTATTCCCCCCCCCCCCAGTGGAACAACATTGCAACTTGCAATTTTTTGCTTGCTTTGAAAAAAACCCTGAATTTGCTCATCCAGGACATGAATGCTAGAACTGGACCAAGAAGGTATTTGACCAGTTATCGAGGGGACTTTGCTGGGGGTGGTTGTTATGTAAGCTCCCAACCACCAGGTAATACTGCTAAATCTGACTTTTATTGACCTTTACCTAATGCACTGCCTAAAATGATGTGGTTTGCTGTTGATAGACCACCACATTTTTCTTTGCTTTCTTCTCCTTACCTTGCAAGGAACCTTTTTGTTTCAGTTAAGGGTCGGAGTAGACATGAATAACATTTTTTATATTCTCAAAGCAGGTGAAGGTTGGATCTCACACATCAGTCATATTTACTGATGATGGCTCTTTCCTCTGGCTTCTCAGGGTCGTTTTCAACAATCAATCAGTCTCTCTCTATATATATGTGTGTGTGTGTGTGTGTATGTATATCATACTAAAGTCAAGCAGTAAAGCAGCATCACACATTAAAACAACAGTAAAAGCAGCAATCATCTGAAGCTGATAAAAGCAACATAATAATCAAAAATAACTAAAACAAAATAAGAGAGGAGAATTATCCATTAGCTGAACAGATTCAACCACTGCTAAAGCCCTCTGAAAAACCATTGTTGTAAGAGATTTAAGGAAGCTTAACAGTGAGGAGTAAGACGGAATTCCCTGCTACAAGAAATCCGAGGCCTAATGGTCACCATCAAAAAACCTTATCCGGCATACCCGGCAGCTTCACCTTGGTCTACACATGGTGCAGGGCAGGAGGAGTCTAACTTGGGTCTTTGGCAGGTTCTGGAGGATAAAGGTAGTCCTGTGATAGCCATGATCACAAGCCACATGGGGCTTTAAAGGGTAAGACTAGCACTTTGGCTTACACACAAACTGGCAGCTGGTGTAATTGATGTAGTAATGGGGCGATATGATCTCTGTGGCGGGTTTCATTTAATGCCTTTGCTGCATATTGCTCTGGTTGAATCATTTTCAAAGGTAGCCATGCGCAAAGCATGTCACGGTAATAGGCCTCTAAGTGTATGTTTTTAGAGAAAGACCACAATGACCTTGGCAATATCTCAGTGCAGGCCAACCCTTCTGGGTGGGCATTCATTGCCAGCTACAAAGAAGTGAATTTTTGGCAGGCGCTTCTAGTCCTCATTATTTTCAGCAGAGGCTGACATTTTTCAGTTAATGGGAATGAAATCAGCAACTTCAAAGCTTTGGAGCATATTGAAAAGAGACCGTTCAAGACAAGTTGAAGTAGCAAAGATAGGCTTGTCTTCTTGAAAGACACTTATTTTATTTTATTTTGTATGCCTCTTATATCTCTTTCAGGATTGGGAGCTGGTGGTCTTGGGGAAATTGAAGTGGAATCTTGCTGCGATCACCCCCCATGACTTTATCGAACACATCCTACGGAAGCTGCCTTTCCCTCGAGACAAAGTGCTTTTGATCCAGAAGCATGCACAAAGTTTTATTGCTCTGTGTGCCACAGGTATGTCAACAAAACATCCCCTTGGCTGGTTGCTGTCCAGTTAGGAATCTGACTGATAGCTGTAGCCAATTTGGACCCATGGTTTTCATAAGCTGTTTCACCCAGACCTTGACAGTTCAAGCAGGTGCAAAAATGTCTGGCGAATTCTTAGGGTCAAGTGAATCGCAACACTGGATGGTCCATGAATAGGAATTGTGCAAGGCCAGAGCCAGGAAATGGGTTTACCACGGGGTCCCCAGCCTTTTTGAACTTGTGAACATCTTTGGAATTCTCACAATCGAGTGGGCACACCCACAAAATAGCTGCCATAGGAGGTGGAGCCACAAACACAGAAGAAGCCAAAGTGCAGGGGAGAAGAGGAGTAATTAAAAATACACATGGGAAAGAAGGGTGAGAGGGAATAAAACAAACACTGGTGGCAGCTGCCACTGAAACAGTGTTATGCTTATCTGCATAGCCAATCTGATCTTCAGTGGCAAATGAGAAGCCCTTCTGGGCAAGAGCCCAGTTACCCACAGTCTAAAAACGTGATGGGCACCATAAAATGTGTTGGCGGGCGCCATGGACCCCTGGTTTAGCGCTTCTCCTTTTGCAGTTCTGCCAGCTGAAACTAACCAACATGCACCCAGCCACTGCACCACTATTAACAGCGGAAAGGGGGAAAATAGGATCTCTTTTTGTTCTCTCCCTTTCTAGAGCTAATTACATGTTGGTTTCATTTGGTGGAAATCATGCCAGGGTTGGGGAGGAACTGAACCGTAACCACAGTCTGAATCAGGAGTTGTGTGTGCAGGGCTGTTTCTATTTTTAAAAAATGCTGGAAAGATGAGTTCATGGATCTTGCAGCCATTTCAGTTGGTTTGACCTTTAGGCATTTGGGTAACTATTTTGGTGCCTTTGCAGAGATGCCCTGCAGAATCCTACCCTGTAGCCAACACAGTTCTTCTGTTTTCACTTGTTTGTATTTTACACAGGTAAGTGTTTTATAAAACGATTAAAGTTTTGATTTTTCACTGATGTTTTCTTTTTGGGATAGTTCTTTAAATAGGAGTTTATTGGACAAAAAAGATTGCAAAATTGACTCACGAGAAAAAATAAATATTCTGCTTCTGGGACCAGTCTGTCCTGTTTGGGGTTGAGCACAATGTAGAGATAGATGTGGAGGGAGTTATGGATGGATTCGTATGATTTTATGATAACACCAGGCTTACCTTGTTCCAAGTTTGCAGTGAAGCGTCAAGCTACATTTCCTGGAAAGGATATGGCCTTTCCCCCTTATCCATGTGGGGAATGAAGGAGTCGAATCAACATACAGATAGCCCCATTTGGTCAGCCTTTCAGTGAATCTGAACATCTCAGTGTCTGTGTGCGGGGGAATACCTCAAAATATTCCTGGTCTAACTCTTCTTGATGTGCAAAACACACCAGCTTATGTGTGACTGTAATTTGAAGGCAGAGTGGGATAGGCTTTTCATAACTACTTTAGAACCTGTTGGTCAAAATTCTCCATGGATGGAATTCTGAATGTCTACCCCAACTTCTGATTGGCACAGGGAGGGAGAACTCTTAAACCAACTCTCGGAAGGAGATACACTTCTGCATTGTCAGTAAGTCTAGCTAGCAACTGTATTCTCCCTCTGAGGCGGAGGACATATGCATGGGTTATTCCCACCGTGCCAATAGGGAGGCAGGAAGTAGTTTTTTCCCCTTCCTGTTGGCGCCTTTGGAATAGCCCCTCCTCAGTTCTGTTCCTGCCTCACTAGGGAGTAGCAGCATAGATTAGCTAGCTCTAGCTGACTTTCAAATCTTCAAAACTTCTCCCTTTGTTTTAGCCTTGCCTTGCCCTTTTACTTCTAGTCCACTCTACCTTTTGATTTCCTTTCTCTTTCTCCTTCTCTGCTCCAATCTCGGGGCGAAGACTCCTGGGGTCCGTCGACCTGAAGAGATCCATTGCAACAATGGCAACAAGGGAGCTTCCCGAGGTCTTCTCCTCGGGCGATGAGGGAGATGTGCATGCCGCGTTGCCGGCAGCGCGGGAAACCATCGGGCCCGATCAGCTCTTGCAGCTTGATCGTGCGCCTACAACGGAGGCTGCAGGAACAGCAGCGGCGGCGCGAAGTGCCAAGAAACGCCGTTTGCAGCCCGATTTGGATGAGCCCGCCATTTTATTGTCCCTTCCTCGGACGGGCGGCGGCCATCTTGGGGACCCGGCTTCGAGCCTTGGATCCTCAACGGGGGCAGCTCCGGGAACTGCGGGGAGCGATAGACCGCGTCTTCTCACCTCCTCAGCATCGGAGCTCTCGTCTCAAGACAGCACGCAGTCGGGTAAGCCCCCGAATAACGCGGTTCTGGTGGACCCCTCTGAACTAATGGACTTCATTAGACGTTCCATTCAGATTGAAATGTCCAAAACTAACAAACCCGAGCTGCCACCCCGACAGGAGACCTCTCTCCTAGATTCTCAGACACCCTTCTGTTTAGGCTGGCCCACCAAGACAACAGAAGCAACAGACAAGAAACTTGAAGCTACCCTTTGAAGGATACACGAGTCAATCGCCATGATGGTTAGAACACCATCCACAGCATCCATCGCTGCCAGGGCATCCATAGTATGGTTGCGCAAACTGATGCAACTAGTACCTGAAAACAGCAGGGCTCTACTAGAAGGAATCTCCCGCACACTCAAATCAGATTCCTTCACAGCTGATGCTACATTAGACATCATATCCTTTGCTTCAAGGGGTTTAGCGTCTACTGCGGTCGCCAGGAGAATGCTTTGGCTGCGGGCCTGGCAAGCAGACGCCCAGTCCAAATCTATCGTAACCGCATATCCCTTTCAGGGAGACCGCTTATTTGGGGAAGCACTCGACAACATTCTGGTTGAAACCAGGGACAAGAAGAAGACCATGCCTCGGTCACTGAGAAACCCAGACAGACACACTTCTCAGTCCTTTCGATCCCACCATACCCTGCCGCGATTTCATCAGGACATCAAAAGATCTACATGGGATCCCAGCAAACAATCCAACAGACGTGGTTCTTTCAACCCCCATTTCCAGAGATCTCAGTTCAGCAGAAGCGACAGAGGTGCGAGGGAGACCAAACCAAAACAACATTGACTGTGCCGACCTGCTGGTGGGGGCACAACTTCTTCATTTTGCAAGGACTTGGTCAGAGGCACAGGCAGATGCCTGGGCAGAGGAAGTCGTGTCTCAGGGATACACAATAGAATTTCTTCATCAACCCCCACAGCAATTCATGCAATCACCAGCAAGCAAATCCGTAAACAAAAGACACATTGTCAACAAGGCCATACAACACCTTATCAACATCAAGGCCATAGAACCAGTCCCTCCCGACCAGAGAGGTCTTGGCGTTTACTCCATCCTGTTTATGGTTCCCAAAAAGAACGGGGACTGGAGAGCAATCCTGGATCTCAAATTTTGGAACAAGTTCATCCGTTTGTTGCGACATTTCCACATGGAAACCTTGAGAGCAGTAGCGGACTCCCTATCTCCCAACGAGTTCCTGACGTCTATAGACCTGACGGAGGCGTATCTACATGTGCTGATCCACCCGGCACACAAGAGGTACCTTCGTTTTTGCATCTATGGGCAACATTTTCAATACCGGGCACTTCCCTTCGGCCTCTCTACGGCGCCCAGGCTCTTCACCAAGCTGATTATCAACCCGGTGAGTCATCTCAGAGACCAGAGGATCCATGTGCATCCGTACCTAGACGATTTGTTGGTCCGGGCCAGGAATCCATTCTCAATACAGAGAAGACACTACAATGCCTACGCAGTCACGGATTTTTGATAAACCTCAAGAAAAGCTCTCTACAACTGAGTCAACAAGTCTAACATCTGGGGGCAGTGATCGACACCATGCGTACCGCCCTGTATCTCCCAGACTCCAAGGCGCAGAAGATCAAGACCATCGTAATGCGAGTCTTTCGCAGCAGATCCTCCCCATTGATGGAGTTGGCCAGTCTCCTGGGCCTCATGATAGCCAGCATAGACATGATCCAATGGGGCCGTATGCATGCGAGATCTTTGCAGAGGTTCCTACGTCCTCATCAACTCAGCATCATGCAAAGAAAGACAATCAATTTACAGGTTCCCCTCAGGGTCAAAGAAAGCCTGAGGTGGTGGACAGATATGAGCAACCTGACGACCGGGAAGCCATACTATATCAACCAAATCAGATAACTCTTCTCAGACGCCAGTCTCCTGGGCTGGGGAGCGACTCTAGAGGGTGTTCCAGTTCAAGGGGTCTGGTCGGCAGCAGAGACATCGCTTCCGATCAACTTACTGGAAATACGAGCAATTTGTCTAGCGCTGATTCACTTCTCTTCCCGGCTGCGGGGACAACATGTCCTGGTGAGAACGGACAATATCGCAGCAAAGGCTCACCTCAACAAACAGGGAGGTTCCTGTTCTTGCCGATTACACAAGGAAGCCATGAAGATCCTTTTCTGGGCGGAGAGGAACATCGCGTCTCTGCGGGCAGAACACATCAGGGGAATCAAGAACGTGCAGGCAGATTGGCTCAGCAGACAGACGCTGCAGGAGGGAGAGTGGTCTCTTCACCCCGATCTTTTTGTCAGGATAGCGGAGCACTTCGGGCTTCCCGTTCTGGATTTATTTGCGTCACCAAACAATCACAAGCTACCAAGATACTACACCAGGTACTTCCATCAGGACGCAGAAGCGACGGATGCGCTCACGACGAGATGGCCTCCGGGTCTGCTGTACGCATTTCCGCCGTTCATTCTGATTTCCAGGACCCTTCGCAGAATCAGAGTCCTCAAGGCAGAAGTCATCCTGGTAGCTCCACAATGGGTGAGACGGCCTTGGTTCTCGGCGTTGCAGAGAATGTCCATTGCTCCTCCGCTGTCCCTTCCGGTGTCCCCAGACATGATCTCGCAGGGTCCAGTATGGCATCTGGATCCAGCATGGCTGTCTTTGACCGCGTGGAGATTGAGCGGCAAAGACTAG